AAAACAAGCATCGCGCGCAAGGAATGAGACTTTCCATGAGTTCGTCTGCTCCATTGGATTTCAAGTATCCGATTTTGACCCGTGTCTTTATCTCAAGATTACAAGTGGCGAGTGCGTGCTTTTGCTGGTATACGTCGATGATGTGTTGGTGACTGGCAGCTCGACCGAACTGATTATGCGTACCAAGAGTGACTTGAAGGCGCGTTTCGAAATGACTGACAGCGGCAAGTGCGCATTCGTGTTGGGCATCGAGCTGGTGGACAACGACAACGGTAGCGTGACGATGTGCCAGTGACGCTACGTGGAAGATGTTCTCAAGCGTTTTGGCATGAGCGACTGCAAAGCCGTCACCAGCCCAACAGACATTAGTTCTTGAATCATACCAAGCAGTGCAGTAACCAAAATCGACGCCCCGTTTTGTGAAGCAGTAGGCGCTTTAATGCACTTGATGACCGCGACACGACCGGACATTGCATTTGCTGTGAGTTACGTTTCCATAATTACGGTGAGCTCTTAGTTGGCGGTCATCGGTTTCCGACCATTATTGGTAACCATGACCGTCCAATCCGAACCGCCTGTTCAGCTTTGTATTTACGACGTAGTTCTTACGGTAATTAACACAGTTGATTAGACGCGTAGGATGACGAGACACTTCAAATGATTTATATGTGCACCACATAAAAATCATGTAGTAAGTAGTAAGCCCCGATAAATCAATCACTTTCGAATCTTCCAACTAGTGAGCAAGTCTCTTCTTCTCTACTCTCTTCAGCCTCTCCGCTCCATCAGCTCCTCTCTCTACCAATGCAACAACGGCAATCTACATCAAGAATCGCCTACCATCGCCCAAGTGCCAAGATTAAACCCCGTTCGAGATCGTCAACGGATTTCGACCAAGTGTGAAGCACATGCGGGTTTTCGGCTGCCGACCATTTGTGCTGACCCCTAAGGAAAAGAGATCAAAATGGGATCCGAAGGCCCGTGAAGGACGATTCATGGGGTACGAAGAAGTGTCAAAGGCATATCGCGTTTACGACATTGAAGCGGATCAAGTGGTGATATCTCGCGATGTCACATTCGACGAATCAACGTTTGGTTTCTCGCCGACGCTACCACAAGAAATTGTTGATGACACTGCGCTGGATATCGAATCGATGAACATCAGCGACGAGCCTCACCCTATGCAGTTCAAGCAAATTGGAAAACGCAAAAGCCGTTCAAACAGCCAAGAACAAGCTCTGCAACGGACACTTCCTGAGCGTCGTGGAACCGGGTTCGAAGAAGCAAGTGCACCGGATGACTTTGAAACGCACCAAGCGAAGCGACGGTCAAGCGCTCGAGCCAATCTGGACGAAGAGCGAAAGGGCAGTGACGAAGATAACGAGGATGCTACACCTCAAGTCTTTTGGCGAGCGAGTGTCAACGCAGTCGAAGGTACTGACTTGTCTGAGCCGACAACGTTTAAAGATGCTGTTGATGGACCGGATCAAGTGCATTGGCGTAAAGCAATCTGTGCCGAGTTGGACTCGATGAAACTTCGTGGCGTGCTTCGAGCGCCCAAACAGCCAGCTGGACAGCATACCATTGGCACCAAGTGGGTATTCAATATCAAGCGGATAGCTGATGGATCCATCGAGAAATACAAGGCGCGTCTCGTGGCAAAAGGGTTCAAGCAGAAATATGGCATCGACTACACGGAGACGTTTTTCCGGTAGTCAAGTACGTGACGCTGCGCATGGTAGTTGCAATCACGAAGTACTTTGACTGGACACTGGACCTACTGGACGTGGTGACAGCTTTGCTATGCGGAGAGATGAAGGAAAAGGTATTCTGCGCGATCCCAGAAGGGGTCAAAGTTGATGAAGACTTTGACTGCTTCGAATAGTTGAAGGCGATCTACGGACTAAAACAAGCATCGCGCGCAAGGAATGAGACTTTCCATGAGTTCGTCTGCTCCATTGGATTCCAAGTATCCGATTTTGACCCGTGTCTTTATCTCAAGATTACAAGTGGCGAGTGCGTGCTTTTGCTGGTATACGTCGATGATGTGTTGGTGACTGGCAGCTCGACCGAACTGATTATGCGTACCAAGAGTGACTTGAAGGCGCGTTTCGAAATGACTGACAGCGGCAAGTGCGCATTCGTGTTGGGCATCGAGCTGGTGTACAACGACAACGGTAGCGTGACGATGTGCCAGTGACGCTACGTGGAAGATGTTCTCAAGCGTTTTGGCATGAGCGACTGCAAAGCCGTCACCAGCCCAACAGACATCAGTTCTTGACTCATACCAAGCAGTGCAGTAACCAAAATCGACGCCCCGTTTTGTGAAGCAGTAGGCGCTTTAATGCACTTGATGACCGCGACACGACCGGACATTGCATTTGCTGTGAGTTACGTTTCCATAATTACGGTGAGCTCTTAGTTGGCGGTCATCGGTTTCCGACCATTATTGGTAACCATGACCGTCCAATCCGAACCGCCTGTTCAGCTTTGTATTTACGACGTAGTTCTTACGGTAATTAACACAGTTGATTAGACGCGTAGGATGACGAGACACTTCAAATGATTTATATGTGCACCACATAAAAATCATGTAGTAAGTAGTAAGCCCCGATAAATCAATCACTTTCGAATCTTCCAACTAGTGAGCAAGTCTCTTCTTCTCTACTCTCTTCAGCCTCTCCGCTCCATCAGCTCCTCTCTCTACCAATGCAACAACGGCAATCTACATCAAGAATCGCCTACCATCGCCCAAGTGCCAAGATTAAACCCCGTTCGAGATCGTCAACGGATTTCGACCAAGTGTGAAGCACATGCGGGTTTTCGGCTGCCGACCATTTGTGCTGACCCCTAAGGAAAAGAGATCAAAATGGGATCCGAAGGCCCGTGAAGGACGATTCATGGGGTACGAAGAAGTGTCAAAGGCATATCGCGTTTACGACATTGAAGCGGATCAAGTGGTGATATCTCGCGATGTCACATTCGACGAATCAACGTTTGGTTTCTCGCCGACGCTACCACAAGAAATTGTTGATGACACTGCGCTGGATATCGAATCGATGAACATCAGCGACGAGCCTCACCCTATGCAGTTCAAGCAAATTGGAAAACGCAAAAGCCGTTCAAACAGCCAAGAACAAGCTCTGCAACGGACACTTCCTGAGCGTCGTGGAACCGGGTTCGAAGAAGCAAGTGCACCGGATGAATTTGAAACGCACCAAGCGAAGCGACGGTCAAGCGCTCGAGCCAATCTGGACGAAGAGCGAAAGGGCAGTGACGAAGATAACGAGGATGCTACACCTCAAGTCTTTTGGCGAGCGAGTGTCAACGCAGTCGAAGGTACTGACTTGTCTGAGCCGACAACGTTTAAAGATGCTGTTGATGGACCGGATCAAGTGCATTGGCGTAAAGCAATCTGTGCCGAGTTGGACTCGATGAAACTTCGTGGCGTGCTTCGAGCGCCCAAACAGCCAGCTGGACAGCATACCATTGGCACCAAGTGGGTATTCAATATCAAGCGGATAGCTGATGGATCCATCGAGAAATACAAGGCGCGTCTCGTGGCAAAAGGGTTCAAGCAGAAATATGGCATCGACTACACGGAGACGTTTTTCCGGTAGTCAAGTACGTGACGCTGCGCATGGTAGTTGCAATCACGAAGTACTTTGACTGGACACTGGACCTACTGGACGTGGTGACAGCTTTGCTATGCGGAGAGATGAAGGAAAAGGTATTCTGCGCGATCCCAGAAGGGGTCGAAGTTGATGAAGACTTTGACTGCTTCGAATAGTTGAAGGCGATCTACGGACTAAAACAAGCATCGCGCGCAAGGAATGAGACTTTCCATGAGTTCGTCTGCTCCATTGGATTCCAAGTATCCGATTTTGACCCGTGTCTTTATCTCAAGATTACAAGTGGCGAGTGCGTGCTTTTGCTGGTATACGTCGATGATGTGTTGGTGACTGGCAGCTCGACCGAACTGATTATGCGTACCAAGAGTGACTTGAAGGCGCGTTTCGAAATGACTGACAGCGGCAAGTGCGCATTCGTGTTGGGCATCGAGCTGGTGTACAACGACAACGGTAGCGTGACGATGTGCCAGTGACGCTACGTGGAAGATGTTCTCAAGCGTTTTGGCATGAGCGACTGCAAAGCCGTCACCAGCCCAACAGACATCAGTTCTTGACTCATACCAAGCAGTGCAGTAACCAAAATCGACGCCCCGTTTTGTGAAGCAGTAGGCGCTTTAATGCACTTGATGACCGCGACACGACCGGACATTGCATTTGCTGTGAGTTACGTTTCCATAATTACGGTGAGCTCTTAGTTGGCGGTCATCGGTTTCCGACCATTATTGGTAACCATGACCGTCCAATCCGAACCGCCTGTTCAGCTTTGTATTTACGACGTAGTTCTTACGGTAATTAACACAGTTGATTAGACGCGTAGGATGACGAGACACTTCAAATGATTTATATGTGCACCACATAAAAATCATGTAGTAAGTAGTAAGCCCCGATAAATCAATCACTTTCGAATCTTCCAACTAGTGAGCAAGTCTCTTCTTCTCTACTCTCTTCAGCCTCTCCGCTCCATCAGCTCCTCTCTCTACCAATGCAACAACGGCAATCTACATCAAGAATCGCCTACCATCGCCCAAGTGCCAAGATTAAACCCCGTTCGAGATCGTCAACGGATTTCGACCAAGTGTGAAGCACATGCGGGTTTTCGGCTGCCGACCATTTGTGCTGACCCCTAAGGAAAAGAGATCAAAATGGGATCCGAAGGCCCGTGAAGGACGATTCATGGGGTACGAAGAAGTGTCAAAGGCATATCGCGTTTACGACATTGAAGCGGATCAAGTGGTGATATCTCGCGATGTCACATTCGACGAATCAACGTTTGGTTTCTCGCCGACGCTACCACAAGAAATTGTTGATGACACTGCGCTGGATATCGAATCGATGAACATCAGCGACGAGCCTCACCCTATGCAGTTCAAGCAAATTGGAAAACGCAAAAGCCGTTCAAACAGCCAAGAACAAGCTCTGCAACGTGATGAACTTTAGACTTCTTGGTCCGAGTGCAAAACGCAAAGTGAATATATATTTATAATAGGTACTTAGTTCGCACTACTTTAGAATCTCTACCTATCTCAAGCTATTATCGCAGTGACGTCACCCACTGACGTCACCCACTGACGTCATGCAATGACGTCATCCAGTGACGTCATTTCCTGACTTCGCCCTTACTGGTACATACCGGTACCCACCGGTATAGCGAAGCTTTCTCTTCCACTTGCTTCAACACTTGACGCAGCTTGACGAGGTGTCTTCTTTTCACAGCCGCTGTCTTTTCAACACTCCCTCCTCGACTCGTTAGCTGCGGCACCTTGGATCCCAAGTCGATCGCGAATGTTTTCAAATTGTACAGCGGCGATCGGCTTGGTCATCATGTCTGCCAGCATATCTTGAGTCGGGCAATACTCCAAAACGACTTCACCTGATTCCACCTTCTCACGCACAAAATGGTAGCGTATGTCGATGTGTTTTGTTCTCTTATGGAACTCCGGGTTCTTGGCGAGAGCGATTGATCCTTGGTTGTCTTCATACATCTTGATCGCTTCGTCGCTTGTCATCTCACCAAGTTCCCCCAAAAGCACTTTGAGCCATACTGCTTCTTTGGTTGCTTCGGAAAGCGCCATGTATTCTGCTTCTGTTGAAGATAGCGTGACCGTCCGTTGTTTCTGGCTTTTCCAGCTGATGCATCCTCCGCTCATCATGAACACATAGCCGCTTGTACTTCGTCTTGACTCAATGCCGCCGGCCCAGTCTGCGTCGGTGTACCCGCAGATACGGCTTCCTTCTTCACGTGTAAACTCAAGACCATGATTGGGCGTTGCTTGCAGGTATCTCAGCACACGCTTCAAAGCTTGCCAGTGAGTCGGGCATGGGTCGGACGAGAACTGGGATAATGATCCCACTGCAGCAGCTAGATCCGGACGTGTGGCGACCATGAGATACATGATGCCTCCGACAGCACTTCGATATGGCACGTTGCACATGGTGTCTTCGTGCTTGCATTCTTGTTCACACATGTTCTTGGTTAGCTTCAGGCCGGGATCTTGAGGCGTCTTCACTGGCTTGCTGTTATCCATTCCGAACTTGGTTAACACGGACTTGAGAAACTTGGTTTGTTGTACAGTCACCATTCCCGTCTTACGGTCGTTCTTGATCTCCATGCCGAGAAAGTAATCGAGCTCACCGAGATCCGTCATTTCGAAGCGTTTGCTCAGCGCCATCTTGGTTGACTTGAGGAGTTCGTTGTTGCTGCTGGCCAGGATGAGATCATCGACGTAGAGCACCACGAGAATCATGTCTTGGTCGTCTCGCTTGATGTAGATGCAGTGGTCCGATTCGCACTTCTTGAATCCCATCTTGATCATGAACCCATCGATTGTTTGGTTCCACATGCGAGGCGATTGCTTCAAGCCGTAGAGTGATCTCTTTAGCTTGCACACATAGTCCGGCTGTGTTGCATCCAGGTATCCGTCCGGCTGGTCCATGTAGATGTCTTCGTTGAGGGAGCCGTTAAGAAACGCTGTCTTGACGTCCATCTGATGTAGCATTAGGCCGTACTTAGCCGCCATACTGAGCACCACACGAATCGATGTGAACTTGGCCACCGGTGCGAAAGTTTCTTCATAGTCAACTCCGAATTTCTGTGAGAATCCTTTGGCCACAAGTCTTGCCTTGAAACGTTCAACTTCGCCATCTTGATTCTCCTTTACACGAAAAACCCATCGGCACCCGATGGCCTTGCGACCTTTCGGAAGAGGCACGATTTCCCACGTGTCGTTTCTCTGAAGCGAATCGAACTCCGAGTCACACGCTTCTTTCCACTTGCCGGAGTCGCTTGATTCCATCGTCGACTTGAATGTAGTCGGCGTTTCCCCCACTGAATCAACGATGTAGGCTGCTTCAAAATCCATTGCAGCCGCTGACACATGCTCAAGCGACGGACCTCTGTATGTTCTTCGCTTGGGACTTGGAATGACGGTAGCTTTCTCAAGTGATTGAGTGCGCGTGTGTCTCTTGATGTTGCTCTTCGAAGACCTGGTGTCTTCGTTGTCATCGTCGCTCGAGTCCATGTCGTCGTCAGTTTTACCTTCTTCTTTTTCTTCGTCCTCATCATGATCATCAAACTCAACGACACTTGACTCATCGTTGTAGTTGCGCGGACCTTCATCAAACTTGTCTTCCATGAATGTGGCATCGCGACTGATCTTGATCGCTCCTGTTGACACTTCCTCAAATCGATATGACTTCTGGTGTTCGGCGTATCCCAGGAAACGACAGAGTGATGACTTGGAGTCGAACTTCGCGCGTTTGTCTTGAGGCACTTGAACATACGCGTGGCATCCAAACACTTTAAGGTTGGCCAGAATCGGTTTCTTCATCGTCCACACTTGATATGGAGACTTGTCTTGGTGAATGGCACGTGTTGGACAGCGGTTTCGAAGAAACATCGCCGTCATCACTGCTTCACCCCAGTAGCTCTTTCCCAGTCCAGCGTGTTCCATCATGCAACGCGCACACTCGACCAGCGTGCGATTCATTCTCTCAGCTACTCCGTTTAGCTGAGGAGTATATGGAGGTGTGAACCTTTGTTGTATTCCCCGTTCCGCGCAGAATCGTGCCAGCTTGTCGGACTTGTATTCACCCCCATTGTCGCTTTGAAGGTACTTCACGCGCTTTCCGGCTTGCGTTTCGGCCATCGCAGCGTATTCCATGAACTTCGCCGCAACTTCAGATTTGCTCTTGAGCAGATAGACGACACAGTATCTTGACTTGTCATCAATGAATGTCACGAAGTACCGTTTTCCACTGAAAGTTGCCATCGACATCGGTCCGCATACGTCGCTGTGAATCACTTCGAGGAGTTTGGAGGTGCGAGCTGTAGTGTTTGATTGGAAGCGCACTCGAGTCTGTTTTCCCAGAGCACAACCTTCACACACGTCCCACTTCTTCACCGAAGATATGTCGATGCCAATTCCAATGTTCTTCGTCACGATGCAATTGAGTCCATCGTGACCTATGTGGCCAAGCCGAAGGTGCCAGAGGTACGACTTGGTGCCCCCTTGACATCCCGACGACTTGGCTGCATTTGCTTGTTCCGGCGCCACTGGAGTCATTTGCAGCTTGAACAGTCCTTTACCTTCACGGGCACCAATTTTCCACTTGGTCCCTTTCGCTTCTCCATAGCACCCATCCTTCGTGAACGTCACTGGGCCGACATCCTTGGTGAAGCGGCCGACCGAGAACAGGTTTCTGGATAACTTTGGGATGTGCCACACGTTTGTGAGCACACCTTTCTTCATCCCTTGGGGTGTCTTCATCGACATGACAATGTCCCCACTGCCGATTGCTTGGACGATTCCATCATCCGCGAGATGGACATCCACAGCGTCAAACCCCTTGTAGTTCCGCATGAACTTCTTGGAGCACGTCATGTGCTGCGTCGCCCCGGAGTCGACCAGCCAGATGTCGCTCGATTTCGCAGATGTCGTTTCACCGATCGAAAAGAGGTAGTCGCCCGAGTCTTCTTCTTGAGCGACGTTTGCACGTTGTGATCGATAGCGGTCGCCGCTGTCTTGAGCACGCTGTGGCCGGTGTCTCTCCGTGTTTTCTTGGATGCGCGAGGGGCACTCCGCCATCCAGTGACCAATCTTTCCGCAATTGTGGCACGGCCAGGACTTCTTCACTGGTCGCCCTTTGCGCTGATTGTCCCTTGTGATGAACGCTTGACCTTGCGAAGCTTCATCACCTTTACTTCCTTGCTCCTTCCGCTTCATTTCTTCATGAAGCAGTCGAGACGTCACGAGCTCCCAGCTAAGAGTGTCTGAGCGCGACTCCAAAGCTGTGATCAAGAATTGATACGAGTCACTCAGGCTGCCGAGGAGTGTGATCACCAGATCGTCCTCGCAGACTGGAGCCCCCACCGCTTCTAGCTGTTCCGCCAGCGTCTTGAGCTTGTTGATGTGTTCGAGCACATCGTCGCCTTCTTCCATCATTGTCGTGAAGAAGCGACGGCGCAAGAACAGCTTGTTGGCAAGACTCTTCTTCTCGAAGTGGTCTTCCAACCTTGACCATGCGTCGCATGCACCACTTGCCGACCGGACCAACGGTAGCTGGGAATCTTCCATGGCTAGACAGATCACTGCCATCGCCTTTCTTGACTTCCTCTTGTACGTCGCTTGGTCCAACTGAGTCTCGCACTGTTCCGCCTTGATCTCACCGCTGACGACCTCCCATAGGTCCCGTTCCTCCAGCACCATCTGCATCTTGAACTTCCAGGCGTGGAAGTTAGTTCCATCGAACTTGGAGATGCGGAGGGAGGAGGCGTCCATGGCAGCTAAGCTTGAATTGTTGGCGGTTTCAGAGTCTGACGAACTTGGGCTCATAACCTGATGAACTTTAGACTTCTTGGTCCGAGTGCAAAACGCAAAGTGAATATATATTTATAATAGGTACTTAGTTCGCAACTTTGAATACTACCTCTAAGCCTATTATTCGCAGTGACGTCACCCACTGACGTCACCCACTGACGTCATGCAATGACGTCATCCAGTGACGTCATTTCCTGACTTCGCCCTTACTGGTACATACCGGTACCCACCGGTATAGCGAAGCTTGGTCTTCCACTTGCTTCAACACTTGACGCAGCTTGACGAGGTGTCTTCTTCACAGCCGCTGTCTTTTCAACACAACGGACACTTCCTGAGCGTCGTGGAACCGGGTTCGAAGAAGCAAGTGCACCGGATGACTTTGAAACGCACCAAGCGAAGCGACGGTCAAGCGCTCGAGCAAATCTGGACGAAGAGCGAAAGGGCAGTGACGAAGATAACGAGGATGCTACACCTCAAGTCTTTTGGCGAGCGAGTGTCAACGCAGTCGAAGGTACTGACTTGTCTGAGCCGACAACGTTTAAAGATGCTGTTGATGGACCGGATCAAGTGCATTGGCGTAAAGCTATCTGTGCCGATTTGGACTCGATGAAACTTCGTGGCGTGCTTCGAGCGCCCAAACAGCCAGCTGGACAGCATACCATTGGCACCAAGTGGGTATTCAATATCAAGCGGATAGCTGATGGATCCATCGAGAAATACAAGGCGCGTCTCGTGGCAAAAGGGTTCAAGCAGAAATATGGCATCGACTACACGGAGACGTTTTTCCGGTAGTCAAGTACGTGACGCTGCGCATGGTAGTTGCAATCACGAAGTACTTTGACTGGACACTGGACCTACTGGACGTGGTGACAGCTTTGCTATGCGGAGAGATGAAGGAAAAGGTATTCTGCGCGATCCCAGAAGGGGTCGAAGTTGATGAAGACTTTGACTGCTTCGAATAGTTGAAGGCGATCTACGGACTAAAACAAGCATCGCGCGCAAGGAATGAGACTTTCCATGAGTTCGTCTGCTCCATTGGATTTCAAGTATCCGATTTTGACCCGTGTCTTTATCTCAAGATTACAAGTGGCGAGTGCGTGCTTTTGCTGGTATACGTCGATGATGTGTTGGTGACTGGCAGCTCGACCGAACTGATTATGCGTACCAAGAGTGACTTGAAGGCGCGTTTCGAAATGACTGACAGCGGCAAGTGCGCATTCGTGTTGGGCATCGAGCTGGTGTACAACGACAACGGTAGCGTGACGATGTGCCAGTGACGCTACGTGGAAGATGTTCTCAAGCGTTTTGGCATGAGCGACTGCAAAGCCGTCACCAGCCCAACAGACATCAGTTCTTGACTCATACCAAGCAGTGCAGTAACCAAAATCGACGCCCCGTTTTGTGAAGCAGTAGGCGCTTTAATGCACTTGATGACCGCGACACGACCGGACATTGCATTTGCTGTGAGTTACGTTTCCATAATTACGGTGAGCTCTTAGTTGGCGGTCATCGGTTTCCGACCATTATTGGTAACCATGACCGTCCAATCCGAACCGCCTGTTCAGCTTTGTATTTACGACGTAGTTCTTACGGTAATTAACACAGTTGATTAGACGCGTAGGATGACGAGACACTTCAAATGATTTATATGTGCACCACATAAAAATCATGTAGTAAGTAGTAAGTGATGAACTTTAGACTTCTTGGTCCGAGTGCAAAACGCAAAGTGAATATATATTTATAATAGGTACTTAGTTCGCAACTTTGAATACTACCTCTAAGCCTATTATTCGCAGTGACGTCATCCAGTGACGTCACCCACTGACGTCACCCACTGACGTCATGCAATAACGTCATCCAGTGACGTCATTTCCTGACTTCGCCCTTACTGGTACATACCGGTACCCACCGGTATAGCGAAGCTTGGTCTTCCACTTGCTTCAACACTTGACGCAGCTTGACGAGGTGTCTTCTTCACAGCCGCTGTCTTTTCAACACTCCCTCTCGACTCGTTAGCTGCGGCACCTTGGATCCCAAGTCGATCGCGAATGTTTTCAAATTGTACAGCGGCGATCGGCTTGGTCATCATGTCTGCCAGCATATCTTGAGTCGGGCAATACTCCAAAACGACTTCACCTGATTCCACCTTCTCACGCACAAAATGGTAGCGTATGTCGATGTGTTTTGTTCTCTTATGGAACTCCGGGTTCTTGGCGAGAGCGATTGATCCTTGGTTGTCTTCATACATCTTGATCGCTTCGTCGCTTGTCATCTCACCAAGTTCCCCCAAAAGCACTTTGAGCCATACTGCTTCTTTGGTTGCTTCGGAAAGCGCCATGTATTCTGCTTCTGTTGAAGATAGCGTGACCGTCCGTTGTTTCTGGCTTTTCCAGCTGATGCATCCTCCGCTCATCATGAACACATAGCCGCTTGTACTTCGTCTTGACTCAATGTCGCCGGCCCAGTCTGCGTCGGTGTACCCGCAGATACGGCTTCCTTCTTCACGTGTAAACTCAAGACCATGATTGGGCGTTGCTTGCAGGTATCTCAGCACACGCTTCAAAGCTTGCCAGTGAGTCGGGCATGGGTCGGACGAGAACTGGGATAATGATCCCACTGCAGCAGCTAGATCCGGACGTGTGGCGACCATGAGATACATGATGCCTCCGACAGCACTTCGATATGGCACGTTGCACATGGTGTCTTCGTGCTTGCATTCTTGTTCACACATGTTCTTGGTTAGCTTCAGGCCGGGATCTTGAGGCGTCTTCACTGGCTTGCTGTTATCCATTCCGAACTTGGTTAACACGGACTTGAGAAACTTGGTTTGTTGTACAGTCACCATTCCCGTCTTACGGTCGTTCTTGATCTCCATGCCGAGAAAGTAATCGAGCTCACCGAGATCCGTCATTTCGAAGCGTTTGCTCAGCGCCATCTTGGTTGACTTGAGGAGTTCGTTGTTGCTGCTGGCCAGGATGAGATCATCGACGTAGAGCACCACGAGAATCATGTCTTGGTCGTCTCGCTTGATGTAGATGCAGTGGTCCGATTCGCACTTCTTGAATCCCATCTTGATCATGAACCCATCGATTGTTTGGTTCCACATGCGAGGCGATTGCTTCAAGCCGTAGAGTGATCTCTTTAGCTTGCACACATAGTCCGGCTGTGTTGCATCCAGGTATCCGTCCGGCTGGTCCATGTAGATGTCTTCGTTGAGGGAGCCGTTAAGAAACGCTGTCTTGACGTCCATCTGATGTAGCATTAGGCCGTACTTAGCCGCCATACTGAGCACCACACGAATCGATGTGAACTTGGCCACCGGTGCGAAAGTTTCTTCATAGTCAACTCCGAATTTCTGTGAGAATCCTTTGGCCACAAGTCTTGCCTTGAAACGTTCAACTTCGCCATCTTGATTCTCCTTTACACGAAAAACCCATCGGCACCCGATGGCCTTGCGACCTTTCGGAAGAGGCACGATTTCCCACGTGTCGTTTCTCTGAAGCGAATCGAACTCCGAGTCACACGCTTCTTTCCACTTGCCGGAGTCGCTTGATTCCATCGCCGACTTGAATGTAGTCGGCGTTTCCCCACTGAATCAACGATGTAGGCTGCTTCAAAATCCATTGCAGCCGCTGACACATGCTCAAGCGACGGACCTCTGTATGTTCTTCGCTTGGGACTTGGAATGACGGTAGCTTTCTCAAGTGATTGAGTGCGCGTGTGTCTCTTGATGTTGCTCTTCGAAGACCTGGTGTCTTCGTTGTCATCGTCGCTCGAGTCCATGTCGTCGTCAGTTTTACCTTCTTCTTTTTCTTCGTCCTCATCATGATCATCAAACTCAACGACACTTGACTCATCGTTGTAGTTGCGCGGACCTTCATCAAACTTGTCTTCCATGAATGTGGCATCGCGACTGATCTTGATCGCTCCTGTTGACACTTCCTCAAATCGATATGACTTCTGGTGTTCGGCGTATCCCAGGAAACGACAGAGTGATGACTTGGAGTCGAACTTCGCGCGTTTGTCTTGAGGCACTTGAACATACGCGTGGCATCCAAACACTTTAAGGTTGGCCAGAATCGGTTTCTTCATCGTCCACACTTGATATGGAGACTTGTCTTGGTGAATGGCACGTGTTGGACAGCGGTTTCGAAGAAACATCGCCGTCATCACTGCTTCACCCCAGTAGCTCTTTCCCAGTCCAGCGTGTTCCATCATGTAACGCGCACACTCGACCAGCGTGCGATTCATTCTCTCAGCTACTCCGTTTAGCTGAGGAGTATATGGGGGTGTGAACCTTTGTTGTATTCCCCGTTCCGCGCAGAATCGTGCCAGCTTGTCGGACTTGTATTCACCCCCATTGTCGCTTTGAAGGTACTTCACGCGCTTTCCGGTTTGCGTTTCGGCCATCGCAGCGTATTCCATGAACTTCGCCGCAACTTCAGATTTGCTCTTGAGCAGATAGACGACACAGTATCTTGACTTGTCATCAATGAATGTCACGAAGTACCGTTTTCCACTGAAAGTTGCCATCGACATCGGTCCGCATACGTCGCTGTGAATCACTTCGAGGAGTTTGGAGGTGCGAGCTGTAGTGTTTGATTGGAAGCGCACTCGAGTCTGTTTTCCCAGAGCACAACCTTCACACACGTCCCACTTCTTCACCGAAGATATGTCGATGCCAATTCCAATGTTCTTCGTCACGATGCAATTGAGTCCATCATGACCTATGTGGCCAAGCCGAAGGTGCCAGAGGTACGACTTGGTGCCCCCTTGACATCCCGACGACTTGGCTGCATTTGCTTGTTCCGGCGCCACTGGAGTCATTTGCAGCTTGAACAGTTCTTTACCTTCACGGGCACCAATTTTCCACTTGGTCCCTTTCGCTTCTCCATAGCACCCATCCTTCGTGAACGTCACTGGGCCGACATCCTTGGTGAAGCGGCCGACCGAGAACAGGTTTCTGGATAACTTTGGGATGTGCCACACGTTTGTGAGCACACCTTTCTTCATCCCTTGGGGTGTCTTCATCGACATGACAATGTCCCCACTGCCGATTGCTTGGACGATTCCATCATCCGCGAGATGGACATCCACAGCGTCAAACCCCTTGTAGTTCCGCATGAACTTCTTGGAGCACGTCATGTGCTGCGTCGCCCCGGAGTCGACCAGCCAGATGTCGCTCGATTTCGCAGATGTCGTTTCACCGATCGAAAAGAGGTAGTCGCCCGAGTCTTCTTCTTGAGCGACGTTTGCACGTTGTGATCGATAGCGGTCGCCGCTGTCTTGAGCACGCTGTGGCCGGTGTCTCTCCGTGTTTTCTTGGATGCGCGAGGGACACTCCGCCATCCAGTGACCAATCTTTCCGCAATTGTGGCACGGCCAGGACTTCTTCACTGGTCGCCCTTTGCGCTGATTGTCCCTTGTGATGAACGCTTGACCTTGCGAAGCTTCATCACCTTTACTTCCTTGCTCCTTCCGCTTCATTTCTTCATGAAGCAGTCGAGACGTCACGAGCTCCCAGCTAAGAGTGTCTGAGCGCGACTCCAAAGCTGTGATCAAGAATTGATACGAGTCACTCAGGCTGCCGAGGAGTGTGATCACCAGATCGTCCTCGCAGACTGGAGCCCCCACCGCTTCTAGCTGTTCCGCCAGCGTCTTGAGCTTGTTGATGTGTTCGAGCACATCGTCGCCTTCTTCCATCATTGTCGTGAAGAAGCGACGGCGCAAGAACAGCTTGTTGGCAAGACTCTTCTTCTCGAAGTGGTCTTCCAACCTTGACCATGCGTCGCATGCACCACTTGCCGACCGGACCAACGGTAGCTGGGAATCTTCCATGGCTAGACAGATCACTGCCATCGCCTTTCTTGACTTCCTCTTGTACGTCGCTTGGTCCAACTGAGTCTCGCACTGTTCCGCCTTGATCTCACCGCTGACGACCTCCCATAATGGTCCCGACACTACCGGACCATTGCATTTGCTGTGAGTTACGTTTCCATAATTACGGTGAGCTCTTAGTTGGCGGTCATCGGTTTCCGACCATTATTGGTAACCATGACCGTCAATCCGAACCGCCTGTTCAGCTTTGTATTTACGACGTAGTCTTGCGGTCATTAACCTGTTGAACTTTAGACTTCTTGGTCACGAGAACACGCAAAGTGAATATATATTTGCACCACATAAAAATCATGTAGTAAGTAATAGCCCCGATAAATCAATCACTTTCGAATCTTCCTACTAGTGAGCAAGTCTATTCTTCTCTACTCTCTTCAGCCTC